ATAGTCAAGAAAACATCATATATTAAAATAAATCCAGATTCAAAACAATCAAACCATAATATAACGTTGGGTTAATTCGGAGTGTGGCATAACTATTTGATCTTTCGGATGTCCGAACTCATAGCATTGTGAGCAAAATGGTGATCACAGAGGAGCTCCATACTAGTTGGGATCAGCCAACCCGGTGCATTGTCTTCCGTGATGTTGAGCACAAAAGGTTGCAAACTCTGGCATTCCATGTGATTGAGAAGCTGTCAATCTTGGCAGAAAACAATAAGAGGGCAACAAAGGCGAGGAATGGTGATGGTGGATTGGACAGCTTGCCTCTGCGGCAGAGGGATGGCCAGGATTATGCTACTGACGCCTCTTCTGTTGGTGATAAGTGCCAAGACAACTTCTCATTCTCACAGAGGCACAACAGGACCAGTGGGCGATCGGGGTATAATGCTGGTGGTGGGAGACCATTGGCTCCAGGCTGAACTTCTGGGGGAGGCTATACAAGAGGAACGGGAGGAGGGTATTCTTTCGGCTACTAGGGTACACGGTGTCAAGATGCTGCATGTGGGAGAACTAATCAGACTGGGTTGAGAAGAGGATTACAGATGAATGCTTCAATCCCATTGGTCAGTCTTAATAGGGGTGGAGTTTGCATTTTCTGACTCTAGTAAACTAAAATTTTGTTGTCACACAACATTTTATCTCTGTTTTGAAATTCTCAATGAAGTTGTAATTAATGAAATTCGTTTTTGTCTTTGAGTGTTTTCTTTTTTTTTGTATGACTCAACCAACTGCCATTGATGATGTTATTGATGATACTGTAGTTGATTTGATACAGGTGACATCCAGTAGCATTTTGGGGTTGTATGTAGTAAGAACAATAGCAAAGTCCTAGGTTTGAATTTGAAATTTTATCCATCTGAGAGAGTAATAGTATATAACAAAATATGGTTCTGTCTTGCATGAATAACCATATATTTTGAGAATTTTTGTTGTTAACTTAAAATTATCTACATACGTTTTTTGGTCACGTATATAAATTCCATGCCCAATGATGGAAAAACTCAAAATAATATATATATATATATATATATATATATATATATTAACCAAAAATATCAATTTCAGATTTCCGTAAGTTCGTGCGCACATACCTTCACAAATTTTACTGTTCAGTTTTAGGTTTTAGCAAACCAAAGCTCTATATTAGTAAACTATTTAATTACATCATTCTAATTAATCCAAATGACAATTTCATGTGACACATATTTATTGACAAGATTCTAAAATTTAGCAATATAATAATGGCAGCTGTGGTTCAATTTCTGCTTGTGTAGTTATGTATAGAATAAACCACACATTACTTAGACATAGGCATAAAGTATGTGTCAAACAATTTTGGTTGAACATTATGTTACATTGATATATTATTTCACTCCGAAAAATAAAATAAATACATAGCACTGTCATTCTATTTGAAAATTAAAAACGTCCCACATGTGGTTGCATAACCATACACAACACAAAGACGTCTTAAATTTCCTACTTTACAAATTTACCGGCCAATTAATTGTTAAATTGGGGTTAGAAGAAATAAAAAAAAAAACTGGAGGGCTTGCTTAAATGAGCACTCCCTCTCTCCCTCTCTCTCTCACACACACACACACACACACACTCACACACACAAATAGAAGCACAAAAATTAACAGCCAAATATATGGAGATCATCTCTCTTGAGGTAAATGTTACATTTGAAAGCATGTTTCTTTCTCCGTCATTTAGTGTCGTTGCTTAACGTAAAATGAATAGAAAGAATATCTACATTATTATACAACTATTTTTGTATGTGTAAAATTATAGAACTTCACAAACTTCCATACTCTGCCTAGGCGAATCAAATCAAAATCAAGAGGGTAATTTGCACTCATATCTCTGAGGTTTGGGTCAACATTACTCAACGGCCGGTGTCATTCGATGACCGTCACGCCACGAGATTAGATCGTAGTCGTTGAAGGATTGAATGCTCGGAGATTGGCGATGACGAACTCTCTGGTTCGAATCGGGCTAGTCCGGAGGCTTGTTTAGTGCGGTGGTGGTTGTGGTGCTGCGAGTCTAGATGCGTGTTTGGTATGGCGGTGGTTGTGGTGATATGTGTGTGTGCCGCAGTTGCGGTGTGTGTGTGTGTGTGGCGGTGATTGTGGTGATGTGTGTGTGTGTGCGGCGGTGGCGGCGTTTGGGGTGTTGTGCTACATGTCTATGTGTGGATGTGGCGGTGGTTGTGGTGTTAGTAGTGGTGCGGTGAGTCCGGAGGCGATTGTGGTGCTCTGTGTGTTTGTGGAGGTAGTTGTGGTGTGGCGAGTACGGCGGTAGTTGTGGTGTTGTGTGTGTGTGGCGGTGGTGGTTGTGGTGTTGTGTGTGTGTGGCGATGGTAGTGTGTATGTGTGTGTCGGTGGCAGTGTGTATGTGTGTGTGGCGATGGCGGCGTTTGGGGTGCGGTGCTGTGTATGTGTGAGGTAACAACAGTGTATGTATGTGGGGGCCGCAGCAGCAGTGTACAAAATAATGATGAGTTATTTTTAACAATTTACAGGCATGAGGGTAAATATGACTTTTGAAACCTTAAGGGTGTCAATGTAAACTAGTGCGTTGATCGGCCGCCGAGTGGTGTTGACCCAAACCTCAAAGGTGTGAGTGCAAATTTCCTATATCAAAATAACCAAAGAGTTATGATTCAATGATATCTCCTCTGTCTCCCAAAATGAAAAGTAAGAATTCGAATCCCGGACAATTCTGTGTATGAGCTCTCTTTGCTTTCCTTCCTTGCGCAACATCTTAATAGCTGCCACAGTCCCATCTCGATGTCTAAGGACGACTCTATCACTCCATTTCCTATCACACTTGCTTCGCTGAATTTATCCGTCCTCTAGTGGTTGCTCATCAATTAGAATATGGCTATTTTCTTTTTAATACCTTTGAAAATGAATTTACTTCATTTCATGTATGTGACAAGTATAGGATTTTCTGAAACCATCATTGTTCTAATGGCTTTACTTTTTGGCAATGGTTCAATTATTAAGTATATGAGCATCCAAATTAATGTCGTTATTAACCAAGTAATTGTCCAAACACTGCTACATAGACTATCTCAGTTTAGAATTTTCTTTGTAATCCAATTAAGCATATATACATTTTAAACTTTGGAAGAAACAATAATAAAATCACAACCATCACAAGTAGCAAAACATTTATTAACCACCTTCTAATTTTTTAGTATTTGGAGTACACGATATTTCACGCTTGCCTACAATTCCTAGTATATTTTGCTGCTCTTTAATTTTGTACACTCTGATACTAATGTTTTAGGACCTCCATAGGATGAACAATGAGTTGTCATAGGATGAACCAGCTGGTCCATAGATTTGTTCAGATTTTGAACAGCTCAAACTGCAGTTTCCAAGCATTGCCTAAGACCTTGGACTTACTCTTTGATTAAACCTCAATGAATTGGAAAGAGATTTAGGAGAGAGGTTCTTCACCAGAGGGACCAAGGACTGCGCAATATCTGTAATTAGAGGACGGTAATCTGCTTCTGGTTGCACACACATGGCTGCAATAGCAGCTATCTGTAAAACCGATGCAAAGAAGAGAAAAATGTCGTTACTTTGAATCACAGTTTTCAATGACATCAACGACAATGATGATAGCCAGCCAAACTGACCTGGATTAGATCCTTTTTTGAATACTGTCCCTGTAGTGCAGGGTCAACCATTTCCAATAACTTTTCTCTGTTGGTTAACCTTGGAAGAGCCTGAAAATTATAGAACAAACACGAGTTCAGCATCTCCTGAAATTTGTCTCATTGCCGAGGAAATATGATGCTGTTTAGATAGTCATTAAGCAACAAGTCTTAATCACTGATTCGCTATAATATGATACTCAATGGTTTAGGCTCAATTGGACACTAATTTTGTAGTAGAAAAATATTGGCGTTTTTAGTGGACACTAAACAATTATTGTGATGTGTTGGATCTATTACATTATTAAATTTCTAGTATGCTTGGAGAAAAAGTGATGGATGTCTTTTACTGACCCAAGAGACGAGTACATGTTCTCCAGGAGGTCGCTTGGTATCAACTGGTACACGGCCTGTTAGCAGTTCTAGAAGAACAACACCATAGCTGTACACATCTGATTTTGTAGTAAGCTTACCGGTTGAAACATACCTACATTGCGAGAACATTTCAAAAATTAAATTAGTCAGGTTATGCAGTTGTTTTTTACTTCATGATTAGCTAATAAAATCATTTATTTAATTTCGTTAGGAAAATTATTCATCCACAGAGAGAGATTTAATATGGAAGCATGGTCACTTCTGAAAAAGCTAGAGAAAATGACAGCCTGACTTATGGGGGACCTTAGCCCTGCTTAGATATGTGCGTGATTGTGTTAAGTTACATAATTGTGGGGTACGGAAATGAAAAGGAGATATGCATGACAGATGAAGAAGCAGTACTCACTCGGGTGCTAAATATCCGGTGGTCCATGATGCGCGCACCAAAGCCTGACCATGGATCTTGTCCGATCCTGTTCTGGCCAATCGGAAATCTGACAACTTGGCTCTGAAATTTTGATCTAAGAGAATGTTACTGCATTTGAAATCACCGTGGAAGACGTGTGGATCTGCGTGGTCATGGAGAGACTCGAGAGCTCTGGCACAATCAAGAGCAATGCTCAATCGGGTTCCCCAATTGAGCAGCAGCCGGGGTTGGTTGTTGGAAGGGTGGAGGAGGTGTTGGAGAGTTCCATTGGGCATGAATTCAAGTACTAGGAGCCTGTGGTGCTGGTCTGCGCAGTAGCCAAGAAGCTCCACTATGTTGGGAGAGTGTAAATTGCTCAGTAAGTCCACCTGCCTCCCAAAAAAAGGCTTTGTCACACACCCATGTGCAAGATTGAATAGGATTCATTAATGCATTTAGATAAGAATGCAGAGAAGACAGAAAAAAATGTGTGTGTGTGTGAGAGAGAGAGACAGATTGCTTGAAGTCAAAATTCCAGAAAGTTTTTAAGTGGTTACTTGAAGAGGGGTTAAAATGTGCCAAAAAAGGAAGGGACTATTCGTAAAAATGGAATCCTCTCCAGTGCTTTGCGCAACGGTGGAGATCACCTCACCAGTGGGCCCCCTAGGAGCGTGTGTGTGTGTGTGCGCGTGTGAGAGAGAGAGAGAGAGAGAGCTTAAGTCAATACTATTGGGAGATATCTTTTAATAGTAATTTAAAGTGGGGTTAGAAGATTTCCAAAAGAAGCTACACTAAGTTCCTTGTTAAATGTGATTGGAAGAAAAGAAAATGTAGAGGACTTAAAACTAGAGAGAGAAATTGCTTAAGTAAAGATTCCAGGCATAATTAAAATGTTAAAAGATCTCAAAAGTGGGGCTTGTTTGTGAATGTGTCAACACCAGTTAACTGTTAAATGAGGTTAGAAAAAGTAAAAACTAGAGGACTTGCAGTAATGATCTCTCTCTCCCACACACACACACACACACATAGAAGCACAAAATTTACAGCCAAATGGAGATCAATTCTCTTGATATAAATATTACATGAGAAAGCCTGTTTCTTTTTCTGTCATCTAGCGTGGCTGCTTAACTAAGTACTTGGTAAAATGAATAGAGAGAATCTCTACATTATTATACAACTATTTTTGTATGTGTAAAATCAAATGAACATCACAAACTTCCATACACCGTCTAGGAGAATCAAATTGAAATCAAAATAACCACAAAGATACAATTTAAGGAGACAACAAAAGAAACAAAAACTAATAAGCAAACTCGCTAACCTCTACCACCATGGGCTGTAGCCGAGTGGTATCACCTTTACTTCCCAAAGTGAAAGATGAGGGTTCAAAGTCCGGTAGGAACAAATCAGTGTATGAGTTTCTTGCCAAAAGAAAAAAGATCACTAACCTCTGTCCTAAATGCACGCTCTCTTTGCTTTCCGTCCCTGCGCAACATCTTAATAGCTGCCACAGTCCCATCTCTAAGGACTCCTCTATAAACCACTCGACATCCTCCATTTCCAATCACACTTGCTTCACTAAACTTATCTGTGGCCAATTCAAGCTCTCTGATAGTGAATACTTGAACTCCTCTGTATTTAGCTGAAGGAAAACGACTCGAATTCCCTCCATATAGACACCCACCCTTCACATCTGCCACATTTTTCGATACCCGTATCAGATTTTTTGCAAATAATCGAGTTAAACACACACACATATATATGTCACCCCAATTATTGAATGTGCAAGAGTAATTACCTGGGCTAGCAGTAACGTTTATGGTGCTATGAGCAATGAACGTGCAGTTTCTGTTGTTGATGATGATGTTGGTTTTGGGACTGCTGTTGTTTTTCGCGGATTTTTGACGTCGCAGCGTTAGAATGATTAAAAAAACTGAGAGGAGTAAGATGGTTATGGTGGTGGGTAAGATGATTGTGAGAATGGAAGAGGAAGGGAGAATATGAGGATGATGGTGGTGGTTGTGTGTATGGTTTTCTGCAGCAAGACCAGGTGGCCTTGCAGGAGCAGCAGTGGTGTTAGTTTCCATGAGCACAAAGAGCAATGAACTGAGGACTCTGTGTGTGTGTGTGTGTGAGAGAGAGAGAGAGAGGGTTTAAGATCCAATTTGGATTATGGAGGTTGTGTTTTTCTATCTTGGAGGTTATATTGCTTGTCAGGTCACATGATGGGAGGCTCTATTTTTCTTCCTAGGAGGATATATTGCCTGTATATTTGGCCAAATGACTCTCTCTCTCTCTCTCTCTCTCTCTCTCTCTCTCTCTCTCGTGAATTATAAAAAGGTCATCTGTACTTATTTGTCTCTTCTGTTGTATCATATATGGTGTAGTCTCTGTCTTGCTATCATGAGAAATTGGAAGCATTTGCACCAAATCATCTGTAAACATATAATTAGCAAAAAATTAATTTGCAGGCCCAAAAATTTTGTCATTTTAAGCAGAGATGTTTGTTAATTTAGTTAAAAATTGTCTTGGAAATTGTGCATCTGAAATTGAATTCAGTCTTCATCTAAAATTAGGAATTTAATGGGTGGGTGGAGTCTACCCTTCTCCTTCCCCAATTCTGTAGTCCATAGTTGCTTTTGGATCATAAAAGAAAAAACGGAAACCATGTGACTTCAGAAGTCAAAACTGACTTAATAAAATGATTGAAAATATATATATATATTATAACATCAAGTATGACTGATTTGTATTGGCTTATATCATTCCTGGAAAAATAAAGATGAAAAATGAAGCACTGGGTAGTTGGAGCGAAATAATTAATGAAATGGTACTGCGACCAAATACTCTACTTTAATGGTATTTTCTTACCTTCAAAAATAAAAGGTTGAGAATTCAATCCTTATAGAGGACAAAGTGAGTGCGTGAATTTAAAAAAAAATGATATGACAAGAGCCTGAGTTCACCTGAACTGCTCTTTAGTCATACTCATAATTAGATATGACAAGAGCCTGAGTTCACCTGAACTGCTCTTTAGTCATACTCATAATTAGTTGTTGAAATAAATAAACAAGCTTTCACATGGAAAAGGGTAAGATTGCTATATGGGAATGCACATGCTAAAGTATGAAGTTTCAATGTTTCATAACTAATGGCTATTAAAGTCAATGGCTACCACCTGATTTTCAGGGGAAGTAGCCTAAATATTGACCTTGCTAACATAAAAGACAAAAACTTGGTAGTGTTTTTTTATTCAACTCCTGAGTCTCATCCTTCAGTTTCTTGCTCTATGATTGAGCTATTACAACTACATATTTCAGTTAATGAACAACATTGTGGGTATACGAACTAGGCTTTAAATATATATATGCATTTAAAAAAAAAAAATTTATCAAGAATTCTAAATTAATCAATGATTTTTTTTTTTTTTTGGTTCTAAAAAAGAGAGCTATCATCAGAAAATAAAATCAAAATTGTGTCTTGGTGCCTCCTGAAGTGGATAAGATTTATAAAGAGAAAGTCCAGTAGCAAAACTCTCACCTCACATCTTGAAGGTTGGTAGTTGAATCTGGAGTCATCCCAGCAAAATTTTCGGCAAGTGTAATTCACTTCTTTATTTTTCCCGGCAAACAATTTTCAAATTACTTTTAGAGAAGCTTGAACCTTTCACATTTAGCTTGGAATGAAAAAAAAAAAATTTACTACTAAGCCACAGGTTTGGTTTTATTCATTCATTTACCATATTGATTTGTATGGTATTGTGCTAAATATATAAAAAGGATCAATTGAAAATACTATAAAAGAATAAAAAATAAAAGATTACATTTAACTTTTCAAATAATATATTTTGGAACATCCAAAAATGAAAAGAGCGATGTAATGGGAGGGGATTAAAGTGGCAAACAGACCCTTAAAAATCATGCCTTCCTGTGAGGTGTATGAAGAGCTTCCCCATGTACACTTCCGATTAATTCAATGGAATGTATTTGTTTCTACAATGTCATCACTCATCTGGGAAGCCTAGAAACTTGTTTATAAGTTTAGCAACTGGTGTGGCATCACCCGGAGGGTATGGAATGAGCGACTCCAAATCCATACCTGCAATGGTCTGGAAGAGCGTTTGAGGGTGTGCACAAAACAAATGCTTCCTCTCAGCTAATTCTTCTGCTAACTCACTTTGATGATTGTCCATCAAATCCTCATTCACCACCACAATTAAAGGTTTACCCAGCCGCAATGTCTCGAATATGCTCCCTGAACCTGCATCACATTCAAATACAATTATGCAGACACTCTCCTTTCTTTTCTCATTTCTTTGACACCACCAGGATCAACATAAATCAGTCTTAAATGTACTTGCATATATACAAATATATGCAGACTCGATTCATGATACAAGTAGAAATTATCATTGTTTTTCGGTGGTGTTCCTATAATACTATCCACACTCTAAGTCAGCAACTTATCGTACCACCCAACTCCAATGAATTGAAATGGTTTAAAAGTTCAACAGTTCATTCTGCTCAACTGATATCTGATGGTAGGAGTTTGGTACAATATGCTCACAGGACTAGAAAGCATTACACTACAGAAAACTAGTTTAAGTAGAGAAATTTTACAGCATAGTTGAGCTACTAAATTGAATGTATGTGGACAAACTTCCCAAAGAAAAACTAAAATGAATGGAAATATCATATGTATCCTAGTGAAAGCAGTGTAAGAATGAGATGGGATTAGCATTTTATGGCTAGCAAAATTCAATTCTCTTTTGGTTACAGTATAAAACAACCAAAAATAGGATATAAACACTTGCATCAATCATCTCCAAGTAAATCTCAAAACATGTTACAAAATTGAACGTATGTGGACAAACTTCCCAAAGAAAAACTAAAATGGAGAGAAATATCATATGTACCCTACAGTGATAGCGGTGTAAGAATGAGATGGGATTAGCATTTTATGGCTAGCGAAATTCAATTCTCTTTTGGTTAAAGTATGAAACAACCATAAGTAGGATATCAACACTTGCATCAATCATCTCCAAGTAAATCTCCAAGCATGTTACACAAAAAGAACAACTAACTTTGTGCAGTAAACAATTAATTCAAGACCAATATGGTATATCAAGAAAAAACTAAACAGAGTCAAACCTTACTCAGTGCATGTTCTGTCATATTCATGCTAAATATTAGTAACCGTCTCAATGACTAAAACACCATAAACAATAGCACACCATATTGAATAGTGCATGACATTATGGCATTCAATTAACAGTCAAATGATAGCAGAATAACAGTTAAATATGTTGGGTGGCAGCCAGAAGCAACCAAATAGACAAAATTTTCACTGGTTTTATAGAATTTCAATGATCATTTGTCAAAAAACAAATACTGGAAATTCAGATACATTATAGAATAAATAGGTGAAGAACTAACGGTGAAGAACAATTACTGTAAACATGTATCAGTGTGTGAGTACTAAGAAGTTTGTGCAAAAACGAGGGTCGATGCACTGAATGATTGGCTTGTGCTGTAGCAGGACTTTAATCTTCCTTGATCGATCAACAAAGAGAGATTCATAAAATTCCAGTGGTAAAGATTCACTAGAATGGGTTGCTGATTACAGCAGACTGGCAGTTGAAGAGACCGCATAAGTAGAAAACGAAAGGAATATGAGTTGTATCATAGCTTGGATAAGTCACGCTGTGTACTGATATAAAACTTAATTGAGCAGAAGAAAACAGGTAGCAGGTAGGGATATACTATTGCAAATGTATCTAGCAATTATGGTATAATCTATCAATTTCAATTTTCTACAAAATTACGTCCATGCACTGAAGTATCTTAGAGTGAACTTTCTAGTCAAAAAAAAAAAAACCTAAGAAGAAGACATAGGAATTATTATGAAAATCAGCAAGCACAGAGAAATTTTCTAAAAAATCGAGACATTGAGCGACTTACAACCGCTTAAAGTGCAATTAAATAAATTTTTTTACAGTCTACGAAAGGTAGCATTTTTTCAGATGATTGGTATTAAATCTTAAAAATGACTAGCCTTTCCCCAAATTGAGTCCAATTTATTGACTATCTTAATTGACAAGTGTCAACAAAGTGCGGCAGTAGTGGAATAACAGAATTTATTGGTTCAATCCAGCCAATCCTAAGGGTAGCCCCCAACCCCATCACCACCACCACCAACAATAAAAAAATTATATTATATTAAAATAAAAATAAAAATAAATTAATATAAATAGAAACTACATGACCTTACCTGCATGACTGATAACAAGAGATGCTGATCTCAAATGGTCGGCGATGCTTGATGAAAAAGAAAAGTAGTCTGTAACCAAAGACCCATCTTCTCCGTCGGACTGCATAAAGATATTTGTGGGGAAAAAAAATGGATTAAGCATGAGAAAGAACTTAAAGGAAATATAGGAGAAGAAAAGAGCATCCTTATTTAATTTGGAAAATCTCCGATAAAATGAAGTCCAATCTCTTCGATAAAATATGTTCTAATTTAAATGATTAAACAAAATTTCAGAAAAGTTCCAAGTGTTTATTCAGACATCCATAATGAAACATTAAAATGGTTATACTTTTAGGAAATAAACAATAAATGCCACGGCCTAATGCAAACGCACACACACAGATAGATGATATAATAAGAATGTATACAGTGTAATAATTAATATCAGAACTATTGAAGGAGCAACAAGAAAACTTTTAATTAACATTGGTTACAACAAGAGTTGACAATAAGCCCCTATATAGTTGTGGAGTATTGAAAAAGTGAAAATGAATACTGACATGACATTGTGAGGCAAGTGTATGATTGAACAAGTACTTTAAGTTATGCAAAAATGTTGTGAATGATAGTATAGAACTTCATGTCCTTAAGCCAGAAAAAAATGGCCAAAACATTAAATTGATACATTAATTAATTACGCTAGAAAAAACTGCCAAATATTGGACAACTTCTGATGCTTTGGTATCTTCACCTGCCACATTAATGCATCCACAAGCTTGAAATTCCACATCAATGTGAAACAAAATCATTATTCCATACAAGTTTTAACTTTGTATGACCAGTTTGCACACGACCAAAGGTTTTAAGAATTCAAAACACCAGCCAAAGTATTGAGAAGTTTCACAATGTTTCATGGTTTTACAACATTCCATTTTTAATGTGAATAAGTGCTTATATTATCTCGAGACAATCGGTAATTTTAGAGTTGAATACAAGTCCATTTATTTGTATATTGAAGAATTAGCTCTTGTAGAATTTTCTCTCTGAATTTCTATGCTTCCAAACATTAGTAAAGCAGACACCTCATAGAAACTTGTATCAAAATTCACAATTTGCCAAATTCAAAAACAAAGCAGACACTTACAAAACTTAATCATATTTAACACAGTATACACACACATACATATATGAAAGGGAAAAGGTATAAATTGAACATCAAAGTACCTTTGTAGGAAGATATGATCCACGGCCCATTTGAATGAGAAGGTGGGTATACCCTTTTGAAGACAGTGTTTCTTTGACTTTCTCAGTATCCACTGCTTTAACCAAAGCATCAAAACAAGTAGTACCCACTGTCACGAAGACTATTCTCTTCGGCTTTACCTTATCGTCGTCAATATCGCCCATTTGTTTGTTCAACAAAAATCTACTACAATCAGATCAAAAAGCACCAAATTTCAGAGCTAGGGTTTATATAGAAAATTGGGTTTACAAAGTTGAATCTCAAGAATTGGATTACCTTCGTCTATTGCAAAGATTTGCCTCTTTCACCTTCGGAAAACCATTTCCGTCGATTGTTTCCTTTTCCGCGTCCAAGGGAAAAGGAGCTTTATAATTTTTTATTTTTTGGGAGGTAAATTGTATTAATGAAGTAATAATTATAAAAGCAAAGGCACAAAAACAAAGGGCCACACTGAAACTACACATAGCCCAGCCCATTCGACAATCCAATAACATGTTGGTTTGGGTTAGAGAGAGAGAGAGGCTGAGCAGTAAAGCTAGGGCTACTGAGTTTCACACGCGAATAGAAGAGGACGACTTCGGGTCGGTTGAATTTTAGACGCGCTGTGGGTGGCGCGTGACGAGCGTGTGTGCTGTGGTGAGGGTGGTTCACAAGACCCATCTCAAGACTTGTGGTACGGTACCAGACGACATCTGTGCCCTTGTTCTTTCCGGGTTGAGTTATTAATTCCCTTTTTATTGTATAATTAATTTCATGAATTTCTCTCTTACATAGCTAGCTCTCTCTCTATTGGCCGGACTGTTGGTGAATTTGGTCTCTATTCTATGTTCATTTTATTACTTCACTTAATTGGTTAATTCTCATGGTTCAATGAAACCCTAAAACTCCCAAAAAAACAATTAAATATGCAAGAAATAAAAGTACATAAATTATACCAATTTTTGGTATAATAGAAGTACTCAAACCATTATACTAATTTTTGGTATAATAAAAAGTATATAAACAATTATGAAAAATTGCAATTAAATATTACTATTAGCTTAATTGAGTCAGAATACACATAGGAAGTTGAGTTTAGATGGGATTTAGATTGGTTAGTGGTTTAATTAGTTTGAAAAGTAGCACATTTATGTGAATGTTGATTGATAATATTTCCATTCAATATATTTATAATTGTATTGGATGAGTTTTCATTTTTTGAAAATGTTGCATCTCATTTTCAATGTCATTAAATTTTTTCTTACATATTTAATTATTCGTTTTTTTGTTTCTTTTTGTGCAGATTATTATACTTTTATTTCTTGGATAAAACTAAGACAGGACAATAGCAATTATGGCATCCCGGTTTTTTACTCAGGTTTGTAGCTTCAGTTTCAAATCCCAATTTTGTTATTTTATGTATGGATGAAACTTTTATACCTACTATTTACGGTCTCAAAGAATATATCTTATGTTCATTAATTTTAAGAAAGTTGTTGTCATTGCTGTTAATAGGGTGATGGTGAGAGTGATAGTGAAGAAGAGGTAAGTGCCAGGGGAACAGATGAATTTACCACTACAGCCACTGGAAACAGATACCTACAGGGGATGCTAGTGCTAGCGATGATTCCAGCAGGCAGAAGAAGAAGAAGAAGGGGCAGAAGAAGCAGCAGAGGGTTGTCTACTTGGAGGAAATGTCTTCTACTGTTGATCAGAAAAACAATGCGATGCAAAACAGTTTTGACAAAAAGGATAAGATCACGGACAAGCAATTCACGATGAACACAGCTGATATTACATGGGAGATAGTTAACAAGAAGTTCAAAGAGATTGGGGCAGCACGGGGTAGGAAGAGAACTGAAAGTATTGAACTGGTTGAACAGCTTTCCTTCCTGACCAAGCTCGCTAAAACCCCTGCTCAGAAGATTGAAATATTGTTCAGTGTTGTCTCTGTCCAATTTGGTCTTAATCACATGCCTTTAAACGTGTGGAAGAAGTGCGTGCAAAATATGCTTGTTATACTGGACATCCTTGTCCAGTATCCCAACATTGTGGTTGATGACATGGTGGAGCCTGAAGAGAACGAAAGCCAAAAAGGAGCAGACTTTAATGGGACGATTCGAGTATGGGGAAATTTGGTGGCCTTCCTTGAAAGGATATATGCTGAGTTCTTTAAGAGCTTGCAATGCATTGATCCACACTCTCGTGAGTATGTGGAAAGGCTCAGGGATGAGCCTATGTTTTCAGTTCTTGCTCAGAATTTCCAGGAATATCTAGAACAGGTTGGGGATTACAAGGCTGCTGCAAAGGTAGCACTAATGCGGGTTGAAATAAATCTATTATAAACCGCAAGAGGTATATGATGCCATGAGGAAGTTGGATGAACAGACGGTAGCTGCTTTTCCGGAGAATATCCTAGTTTCACTCATCTCCATATTTGGAGATGAGCGAACTAAAGCCCGAGGAACAGTGTGTCAAATATACCACCATGCTTTACTCGATGAATTTTAAAAGTCCCGTGATCTGTTGTTAATGAGTCACTTGCAGGATAGTATCCAGCATATGGACATTTCGACTCAGATACTTTTTAACAGGGCTATGGCGCAGCTTGGTCTATGTGCATTTAGGATGGGACTAATTGCTGAAGGACATGGTTGCCTTTCTGAACTATATTCAGGTGGTAGAGTGAAGGAATTACTTGCACAAGGTGTCTCCCAAAGCCGATATCATGAGAGGACTCCTGAACAGGTATTAATATTGCATAATAAAACTAATTGTGCAGAACTTGTAATTACATGCATCTGTCACAATTCTATGCAGGAATGACAACCTACTTGGAGTAGTATGATTTAAGTTGTGGGCTAACTATTGGTCATGCATGAGTCTTCGTCAAGTATTTTCCACAAAAGGATTTCCATATTGTTCATTATTAATTAAGAGTCTTCTACAAGTTTAGGTCTTTGTATTTCTTTTGTTTTAGGAACATGAAAGTTCTTCAGCTTCTAATATGTTATATAATACTATGATAAACGTATTTTCTGTCTTGATTATTTGAGTTTTTTGTGAAACTCTTCTGCTAGACATTGCTTTAATATATCTTCTTATTTTTTTTCATTTATTGTGCTTTAATATAACTTCTCCCTCGTATAATTTTCCAAGAGGTTAATTTCTGTTAATATATGATTGCATTTTGTCAGGAATGGGTGGAAAGGAGTCAGCAGATGCCATACCATATGCACATTAATCTTGAGCTTCTGGAGGCCGTCCATCTAATATGTGCAATGCTGCTGGAGGTTCCCAACATGGCAGCCAACAGCCACAATGTCAAACGCAAAGTCATAAGTAAGACTTTCCGTCGCTTACTTGAGGCGAGTGAGAGACAAACATTTACTGGTCCTCCTGAAAGCATAAGGGACCATGTAACGGCGGCCACCAGAGCTCTTAGCAAGGGAGACTTCCAGAAAGCGTTTGATGTCATCAAGTCCCTTGATGTCTGGAGGCTTCTTAGGGACCGAGAGAATGTTCTTGAGGTGGTCAGGATCAGAATCAAGGAAGAGGCCCTAAGAACCTATCTTTTCACTCATTCGTCGTCATCCTATGATTCTTTGAGCTTGGATCAGCTTGCAAAGATGTTTGAACTTTCTGATGTCCGGACACACAGCATTGTGAGCAAAATGATGATCACAGAGGAGCTCCATGCTAGTTGGGATCAGCCAACCCGGTGCATTGTCTTCCATGATGTTGAGCACACAGGGATGCAAGCTCTGGATTTCAAGTTGACAGAGAAACTGTCAATAATCCTGGCAGAAAGTACTAATGAGAGGCCAACAGAGGCAAGGATCGGTGGTGGTGGAGGATTGGACAGCCTGCCCCTGAGGCAGAGGGATGGCCAGGACCATGCAACAGAGGCTGCATGTGGGAGAACTAATCAAACTTGTTTTACAAGGGGATTGCAGAAGGATGTCAGTCCTATTAATAGGGTTTGCTGTTTTTGACTGTAGTGAACTAGATTTTTGTTAGTGTTGTTTGCAGTACTTCTATTTTACCTTTGTTTTGAAATTCTGATCAGTGGAGTTTAATTATTGGAATTCGTTTTTGGCAAGTTTTTTTCTTAATAATATGATTTGGCAAGTGTTTTCTTTTTGTAGGACTCAACCAGCTACCATCTCTACTTGTGTTCCAAATTTATGCATCCATTGTTGATTAATTTTATTCAGCCTGGTAATGAACTAATGATCTTGGTTGAATTTTAGTTCCAAATTAGATTGCCTGTCATTGATGATACGGTATTGGATTTGATACAAAACATCCAGTACGGATTGGGTTGTATGTAGTAAGAACTATAGCAAAGTCCTGGGTCTGACTTAGAAAATTTATCCGTCTTTCTAAGAATACTGAATATAAAAATATGTTTTTATCAGGCATGCAAAACCATAATTTTCGAGAATTTTGTGGTTAAAACTTAAAATTATCCGCAAACTTCTTTGGTTATACCAAGTAAATTTTCAATGTTAGGAGCATTTGATTTTTTCCCATTTTTTATATGCATTCTTTTTCCTTTGGAATTCATTGTTCTAAAATCTGTTCTGGAAAAATAGTATTACTTCTATTGTTACTGCTGGGATTTTGGTTTCCTCCTGATGTTTTTGTTCCCTTGTTAGATAAACAATGTATATGAACTGGGAAGTACTCGTGTTGCAGCCCTAAAACAGTGTTAAAAAAAAGAAAAAGAAAAAGAAAAGAACGTATAGGAATTGGGATCGAGATGATTAAAAAGAAAAGCTCACTAAAACCCCTGCTCTGAAGATTATTACATGAAGACCTTTTGGGAGACGTTGCTGCTTGGCAGGCTAATGGGATTTGCAAAGGGCTTAAGTAGGAGTCGGTACCAATGTACCATCAATGCACTTTGAGGAGGAAGAGGAGAGTATGGGAGGCTGTCTTGTTGTGCTTGACATGGTTATGTGGGAGGAGGCTGTCTTGTTGTGCTTGACATTGTTTTTGTTGTTGTTGTTGTTGTGATGTGTCATATATCTGAATGCAGTGGGATAAAACTATTGAAGTGTTGTTGCTTGAAACGATACAGAACTGACTTTATAATTGCTAAACTAATATAAATGTTGGAAATAGCCGTGGAAATGAAGAAACAAAAATTGTCACCAACACCTTGCTTGAGGAACACTTTAAACATTGATAAATTGAGCAGAAAAGAATGAGAGTGACAAAAGCTAATTGGAGGTATTGCACACCTTATGAGGATTTTGTGAAAAGTAAAGATAATGACAATTAAAGCTATGTTTTGTTTGTAGAAATTATGATGGACCTATTTATAAATTATCATTGAATGAAACATCTGCTGTGATTTTTTTTGTGCCTGTTTAAGTTAGTTACAAATGCTAGAGCAACTACTTAATCGATCCTTATCCTGAAAAGAGGATGGTAAAGAGTTACTGTGGATGTTGGACCGCTGAAAAAGTTATGTTGCAAGCTAAATTCAGTGGAAAGATGATAGCAA